ATGCAGAGGACTATGGCAGTGGTGGCAGTGTCCCAAGATGGAGACTGGGGGAGCCCCATGCTGGTAGATGGGGGTCCACACAGGAGTGGCAGCCACAGTTCTTGTGCATGGAGAGTGGCCCAGTGTCCTGCGTGGGAGTGGTGTCTGGGATTCCTCTGCAGGTGGATGGCCAGGAGTCCTGCACAGGTGCTGATGCACGTGGTCCTGCTCTGGCACCTGGGAGCCCTGCATGGGAGAGTAGTCTGGGGTCCTGCTCTGACACTGAGCCCTGGAGCCCTGTGTGGGCACAGCGGCTGTGACTTCTTCGTGGGAGCAGATGTGTGGGGGGATCCTTTATCACTTCCAGTGAAGCAGTATTCCCACTACTTGAATCATAGGTCATAGAGCGACATAGAATGCTGCCTCCTTCTAGCCTGCCATCTTGCATCTCTGTCAGGTCTCAGTCTCCTAATGAGCTTATGTACTTGGGCTGAGACCATCATAGTGCCTTCAGGTGTCACACCCCCCCCCCCCCCCCCCCCCCCACTCCTTTAGGTGGGATAGCATATCCAGGTGGCTAGAGATGAGTATGTTTCTTTCTCCAGGTTGGTTAGGCTCTGATAAAACCCCCAAAGTTTTAGTTCTGGTAAAGTAGTTTCTTCTGAGGGTAGGCCTTGTGAAGAACAGAAGCACTAGCACATTCACAATGAATTCTTTTCCTCTCTCTTCAGGATATAGGAGGAGTATTTTTTTTTTTTTCCAATTTACATTGGAAGAACTTACTAAAACTCATAGAGGAAAATTCACAGACCAATAGATGACCACCCCCTGGGCCTTTGGAGTTTTTAACTCTCAGACTTATCCACACAAATCCTCCAGGAATTTGTCAATTTTAGTTCAGTTTTCCCTTTTCCATCCTGGTTCCTGTAGAGCTCTCAGCTGGGAAGTAAGTCGGGAGTCTATTTGGGAAAGTTGTGATTGCCTGTATTTACTTGTTTATCTATTCAATTTTGGGGAGCAGTGATTTATCCTATAACCTCACTCCTCTGACAGTCCTAAGAATAACTGTCAATTTTCAGTTGTGGCATTTTACTTGTTTTCATACAGAGTGATGACTTTCAAGGTCCTTACAGTCCACCTCAGAAACTGAAAGTCTATTGTTTATTTGACCCATGGGTTTTTTATAAATGTGTTTTTAACATTTCAAGTAAATGGGATTATTTTTGTTTATACTTTTTCTTACATATTTCTAAATTTATTACGTTATAGTCAGAGAATGTTATTTTTCCATGTTGTCAACTCTTCAGAATTTGTTAGTAATTTCTCTGTGGCTTGGTATATAGTCTTTGTTTTTCAATGTTGCATGTGACCTTAAAAGGACTGTCAGGTACAATGAGCTCTTTATGTCTATCAGATAATAAGGGTATTAATCATATTGATCATAATTCAAGCTCTGTGGCACACAACCTGATCACTGCTTCTCTCCCTCACCCTAGGTGACCCAAGAACATTGATAGTGATAGTGTTATAATAAAATTTTTCTCTTCCTATCTGAGTCACTAAGACTCTCATCTCTTATGGTACCAGAAATGTTACAGTGTAGCAAACAGGCAAAGCTCTCATGAAAAAAATATAAATACTGCAGGATACCTGATGATTTTATAACCAGTTTATTATAACTAGTGTCTTCATCTACTGCCTTCAATAATAGATGTGTTTGATCTCTATTCTGTCTGTTGATGATTATTTCAGTTAGATCTCACATTTTTTTCCCTTGTCTTTAGGAATTAAAAAAAAGCCCAGTTTAATTCAATTAAAATTTTTAGTCTCACACCCAACTCAAACATTTCTGTCTTTTACCCATCCAGCTCAAGATTAACCTGTGGTTTAGGGACTACAATGGAAGAGGGGGTGGGGGTCTTTTTTTTATACCCTGCCTTGCTTTTGCACAACTTCCTTTGCTCTAATGCTTCTGGGTGCCCCCTCCTTCCCAGGTGGGTTGTAACACTTGATGAGAGGTGGTGAGGTCTACTGTTTGCTGACATTGGCCATGTGTCCTCTGGCTGACTTCTTGGACTCTCTTGGATAGGGTCTCCCATTAGACTGGCTCAAGCCTGGTTACTCTCTCTACACTATCCCCTTTTTGGCTTATAGGAAAGTCATACATTTTTGACACATCACATTCTAGTGGTAAACACAGTCCCTAATACCTTCTCTCCTTGCTCTACTACTTAAGGCTTCAAAATCTAAGGTACTGTGTCAAGTTTTCCTAAACACTCTCTTGCAGGCTGTTTTTTTTTTGCCACTCTTGCTGAGTTTGGGAATTCCCTCTGTTGCAACATTTGACAGGGAGTGAGGTACAACTCCTCCTCTCATAAGCCTCCTAACCTCCATGAGGAGTTCTATTGGATCTCTTCTCTCCTACAGACTTCATCTTCTGACTATTTAGGTTCCATGGCTTGGTGAGAGCTAGAGCCAATGGACTATTTGGCAACCCTTTTAGTAAAACCTTTCTTCTTTTTCTCCTCCTCCTCCTCCTCTACATTCTGCTTCTTCTCCTTCTTCAGAATTGAGCCCAAGTGGACTTTACTCTGAGCCACATCTGTAGACTTTTTAATTTTTTTTTATTTTGAGACTCTTATTAAGTTGTTGAAGGCCTTGCTAAGTTGCGAAGTTGGCCTAGAACTTGCAATCTTCCTGCCTCAGCCTCCCTAGGTGCTAGGATTATAGGTATGTGTCAGCATGCCTGTCTTTGACCCCAGTTTTGAGATTAAACAAACCCTGAATCTAACAGAAAATACACCTTCAACATGCCATTATACTTTCATTTTCTTCATCTTATAACTAGTATAATTTATCTCATGGGGTTGGAGCATCCTTGGCTTTGGTATACCATGGTATTCTAATAAGTTTACCAACTTTATATATTTAGAGATGAAGGAAGTATTGTCACATGATAAAAGGCCAAAAAGCCCCTATTGATCTTTTGTGGCAGGACATTGATCCTACAAATCATTTAACCTCTGGAGGACTTGTTTGTCTTTTTAAATCAGGGAACTATCATTTGTCCAAAGTAATTCAAATTTTGGAAAGCATCAAAAGACATGATAAAAAAATGGAGTCCATTTTCACCATGTAAGTTCGTAGATACTCATGACTATTTTAAAAATTGTATTTGGTAACATCACTTTAAACTGTTGAGAAGCTTTGTGATTCCTCTAAATAAAGTTCTTTCTTCAAGCAAACTATGGGCAAAAACTTACCCCATAACAAAATAAAAGCTTCATCATGTCATCTGTACCAATCCCAATTTTAGGAAGAGCCCTTTTTAGGACTTTTGATTTTTCTTAGAAATACTCAGTTCTCTAAGTGCAAATAACCTAAACAATGCCATGTTTGAACCCTGGAATCAAAGGTGGAATAATGTCTCTGTTTTTTGTTTTCCTAGAAAATGATTTCTCTTAAACATTTCTTAATAGAAAACAGAATTTATCCACATGTTGGCTTGGATGAATTTGTCTTTGATTTAGCTTCATGGAATCTCTAGGATTTTTGCCACTCTTGTTGATATAACCTTGTTATCAGCATTGCACAGACCATGGCTGACCATTTAATGCTACGAACTATGGCATAGAGTTCTGTTCCTATCAAAAGTAAAAATGTTCTTGAAGGAAGGAAGGCTTTGAGTCAGCTACTGCCTTTCATCTGTAATACCAACTGGCTTTAATGAAAGAAGTGTAGGAGGCAGGAGAGGAAGGTTCTGATCCTGTCTGTGGGTGGCTGTATGACATGAAAGTCAACTGACCTCTTTGGACACAGATCTCCCAGCCTTCAAGTCAGGGTCTGGTAAATCCATAATGACCCTAAGCCAAGGTGCCAGGCTTGTAAAAATACTCACCCTGCAAAAGTAAAGTATCTTCTGTGCCTATAATTCAGGCAATTTCATAGCCATTAGAAGGCAGAACAAAGTCCAGATTTGATGAGGGTAGAACTTGCAGATAACATCAACACAGGACTAAGCATTTTATTCAATGTGAAATTTCCTCTGAACTTCCTAGGATCACTGTAATAACACATCCTTTGCAAAAATTGGACTCAGGTAGATCATGTAACTGCAAGACCTGAACCAGCGTGTTATTTTTTGGATACCTTGGCATTGATATGCTGTATACGGTAACTCATTTTAGGCTGATTACCTGAAAAAGGAGTACCTGTCTATATTTTCTACTTCAAGAAATGGAGAGTTTGTAATCTTCCCAAATTCCACAGGTAGTGAGGGCAGGGAAATTTAAACTCACCTACACGTCTTTCCGGAAGCCTCCTTGGTGGGGCTTTATGAAACATAGGACATAGGCCACTAATAACAATACCCAACATGCTGTGCTTTCTGTGCATCAGGCCCTGGGCTATGTGCAACAGACACATTTTCTCAAGTCCTCAAACACTACCTTACAAATGATATACTGTTAGCACTTGTTCACTCTTTAAATTAGAGTGGGGGTATATGCTCTGAGACCCAAGGGACAAGCTGCAGGAGGTGGGATTGTCTACTGCCAGACAATCCCCTGAAGCATGGACAAAGGTCTGTGCACATTATGGGGAAAGGAAGTGGTGGGAAGTCTCCTTTTTCTGTCCTTTGTAGATGTGAGGCTCCTCTCTACATGCGGTCTCCACATATTGTCCATCCCTGATCTCCAATAGACTTTGAGCCACTTTGTTCCCAGGGATGTGTCTCAATTATCACACAACATTCTTGCCTTCCGCCACACATACCGGGGAAGCGGGAAGAAACTAACTCTAAAGGAGGTCGCAAGCCGCAGAGATCCCCCAGTTTGGAACCGTTAACGAAGGCCCAAGTTCCCGCTCCTGCGAAGCCTGGGTTTCCGCTCAGCGGTCCAGGCCTCAGCGTCCCGGGCCTGAGGCAGAGAGCGCCCCGCTGACCTGGGGCGGGGCCGGCTCCTGGGGGCGGGGCCTGGGGCCCTGGGGGCGGGGTCCGGGGCCCCGGGGTGGGACAGCTAAAGCCTGGGTATTTCAGCAAGACTGACGGGTGGCTTCGCCGCGGCTTCCCTGAAGCTAAGAATCCGACCTTCATGGTCCCGGGGCTCCAGCAGCCGAGATGCGCCTCCACCTGCTCGTGCTGCTCGCGCTGTGCGGGGCGGGCTCTACTTCCGGGGCGCTCAGCTACAGCTTAGGAGGAAGCTGGAGGATCCGCAACGGGAACGGCTCGCTGGATCTGTTGGGGACGGTCCCCGGCTGCGTGCACAGCACCTTGTTCCAGCAGGGCTTTATCCAGGTACAGTGTGCGGAACCTGCGCCCGACTTCCCCGAGTGGTTCGAGGGGCCCAGGGACCGCCTGCAGCCCCCGAGCCTGGCCGTTCTCGTCGGTTTGGCACATAACTTCCTCTTTGCATCTTGTGGTCTGGGAGGCGGGACGGGGGTCGGGGATACCCGGGCAGTGGGGTACAGTCTAGATGGAGACTGACCGACCCAAGCTGGAGATCAGTAATTCAGGAAAGATGAAGTTTAGATTGAGAAAACAATATTTCTATTCGAGGTTTACTTATTGCCATAGTCTCGACAGAAGCGCTATACAAAGGACATGTCACTGACAAGCTTAAGTTGGGAGATGTCTATTCAAACTACCTGGGTGCTGCAGGGGACAATAGCCTTTAGTTAACTAAGAGTTTACCAAGTAATGTCTCAGGTTTTCATTTTTGCTTTTAGGCTACGGAAAGTCAGATTTGGGATTGATAACAGCGCATAGGTTGAGGAGAATGAGACCTACAAAAATAAAACTGGGTTTGTCAGTGCTAGTGTAAATTCTAAATATTTTGTATGGGGGCTGGTGCTTCTGGAGTCCTTGCACATGCTAAGGATGCACTCTCCAGCTGAGCTACATCCCTAGCCTTAAAGCCTAAAATAAATTTTAAGATGACTGTTCTATGAGGGAATGTGGCAGGCATGTGGGGTGTATGTGTGCGTGCATGTGTGCTGCACGTGTGTAGGTCCCCATCGCATAATAGATTCTCCAGCTAACTCTGTTAGACTCCTTGGAGGGATGTTTTCTATTTGGCAGCCTGGGCATCTGGGTTTGCAAACAGATATTCATCTTCCACAGCTTGTTCTTCAATTGCTTCTTATTGTTTTCTCACATCTTGTCTTTGCTCAGGGCACCATGTACTTGATGCTATTATAGTTGCCACCCACGTCCCAATCCTTAGAACAACTCTAGTAAGTAGGTGTTCTTACCTGGGTTTTATGGATGATATGGAGTTACCTATCTTAGAAGAAATTAGAGAACAGGCCCAGGATCACACAGCAACGAAGTTGATAGAAATGGAATTCTAATTCAAGTTGGACCCAACTTCATAGTCTAGATTCTATACTCTATTTTGCTTACCAAGGTGTTTTTTTTTTTTTTTTAAATCATGCCTTTTCGAGTCATATAGTTGATCATTAGGAGTATAGTATCATTATAAGTTTACTTCAATGACAGGGTAAAATGTATGATCTGGTACTTGTTAGTACTCACCTGCTTCAGGTGTATTTCAGAAAGGAAGTGAATGTTGTAATAATGAGACTGTCCAGAATGTTCTTAGGGAAATCATTCTCCAGCTTAAGTACTTTATTTTTAGTTAATAAAGTACTGTGACATGGACCATAGCTGACCTTGGTACCTGTGGCTTAATTATACCTGTTTTGAGAATGCCTATGTTTGTCTGCAGGGTCTCTGTTTGCTTTGTTTTAGTAGTAGACTTAAACCAGTGGAAAATCTGAGAGCCCAACTTAACTGTAGAACAGACAGGAATTGCTCACTTGGGTTTGTTGATGGATTGGATGTAAGAAGACAGAGAAAGAGGAGTCAAGGAAAACTTCAGAATTTTTTTTTTTTTAATCTAAGCTGCTGGCTAAATGAAATTTGCATTACTGAGAGGCATTGTGACCAACTTGGCCTGTTTCATAGGTGATTGTTTGGATTTCCTGATAAAAGCCATTCTCTGGGGATTCAATAATTTGATTGTACAAATCAATAATTTGATTGTACAAAGTAGATTGACAATGGGCAGATTAATAGGAGAAAAGGCATATGAATTTGAAATTGCAAGAACAAAGGAACCGTACAAAATAGGAAATTCAAAGGAGGGTCAGATGGTTGAAGCTTAAATACCCACTTCACAGGGGAGAGGGAAGTGAAGGATATAAGGCAATTTTAAAGAAAGAGTAAATGATTTTTAGGGAAGATGAATAGGCCCAAACAACAAACAGTAGTCCAGTGGGAAGTTTGCTTTATCTTTGAATATGGTGTCAATTCTAGCCTTTTTTTCTTTCTAGTTAATCTTTTGGGGGATCCAGCTTTTAGGTAGATAGGGGAATGTAATGTTTACCACCAGCTAGGCAAGTGGGATAGAAGCCAAGAAACCAAGGAGGACACCTGGAGGTGGGATATGACGTATAGTGTTTATTGAGAAATGTTTACAAGGGAAGTCCAGTGGTGACAGGCTGGACAGCCAGATGTTCACCAGTGGCAATAGGATAGACAGGTGTTTCACCAGGAATTCCAGTTGCAATGGGCTAGACAGGTATACCTCTGCTCCATGCAGTGCCTTCTATACCTCCCCAGAAAGCAACACGTCTCTATACCTCAGGATGCTTCATCCAGGGCCAGCTTCCTGGACAAGCACTTCCCTCTCCACAATGCTCTGATCTGTTTCATTATTGCAGGGAGAGAGTTTTATAGTTTAGGTTACAGAAGAAGCATCACCTTAGCTTGCTTTGTCCTATTGTATTAGCAACATCCCAAGGAACTTGGTGTGCCTTCAAGAAGGCAGCTCTCTACAGATAACATTAACTTTGTCCTAATTCCCAGCATACATGAGAGTCAATGTCCTTCAAGAAAATGTATTATCTGGGGATGGGACTCAGTGGAAGAGGGCTTGCCTCACATGCACCAGGCCCTGGATTCAATCCCTAGAACTATAAAAAAAAAAAAAAAAGATAATATGTATCTGGACATTTCTTTCAGACTCTCTGTCTTAGTTTCCTTGACTTGGCTAGATATTTAGGAATAGAAAGGGCCATTCAGTGACATGGTGTTTTACTGTCCCCCGTTCTTTAAGGATGGCACAGGGGAACTTCAGAAAAAGCCCCTTTCTGCACTTTGGGAGGCAAAGAGGAGGAGAGATGGGGGGAGAGTTGGGGTTTGAGGGGTGAGAGTAGATGTTAAAGGTCAGATAGACCTTAGTTCTATTTTGGGGTATGGTTTTCTGAGCCCAACAGGTATCTTGGAGAGATTGCACTCCCTATTATTTATTTGGCCTATTATGTCATGCAATAATAGGCATTAGAAATAGCAAGGAAATGAATAAGACTCGAGTTTCTATTTTGTGAGAATTTAGTGAGGCAGAAACCTTACAAATTGCTATATAATATGAGAAGTGCATAGATAAGGGGACTCTTTTGTTAGGAATGTTCTCAGCTTTCCTGTGCAATTTCTCATTGGTATAAATTTTGAAAATATTCTTTTTTTAAAAGGTATTTTTAGTGTGCCCAAATTGGAAGATATAAATAATAATAAGAAAAGTTGTAAACCTGACTTCCAGAGATAACCACTATTAAAATTTAAAAAGATATTATGTCCATGTTATTCAGTGTCAATTGGAGATAATAAGTTCATAATCTGAATTAATAAATATTAGTGTTGGGCTAGGGTTGTGGCTCAGTGGTAGAGCACTTACTTAGCATGTATGAGGCACTGGGTTCGATTCTCAGCACTGCATATAAATAAAGGCATCAAAACTAAGAGAGAGAGAGAGAGAGAGAGAGAGAATATTGCTTAAAAAAGATATTATATCTATTCAGAACTTTTCTATACCTACACATTTATAAGTATTTAAACATATGGTTTAACAACTTTTTATATTTAGTATTTTGTGATACTCATATTTAGTAAGCATATTTCTACAAACCATGCTTAATGACTCTTTTCTTCCACTGTACTAATTTACCTTCATCTGTAATCCATCACTTATTATTGGATGATTAGAGCTGACTCCATCTTTTTCTGTTTATAGGGAACTATCCTTTAAACTAAATTTTAGTATATATCCTTATTTTCTTAGACAAATATTTAGAAAAAGAATAGCTAATTCAAAGAGAATGCAGTTTTAAAGTTTTTGTATGCACTTCTAAGTTGTTCGTCATAAAACTATACTAATTGTACACTCCCATAATCATTTTATCAGATTGCTTATTTTAGGTGCTAGCTTTGAATATTAGTTAAAAGAAACAGTAACAACAAAACCAGTTTACATGTTTTCTTTGATGTGCAGATGCCAATTCACAATAAAGGGATGGGGCTAGGGAAGAGGTACTTTGGATTAGGTACTTTGAATTACGCCCAGGGGAGTGAAAGGAGGGGAGGGAGTATGGGGGTAAGAATGATTGTAGAATGAATGGGACATTAACCTATGTGCATACATGATTACATGACCAGTGTAACTCCACATCATGTACAACCAGAAGAATGAGAAGTGATAACTCGGTTTATATATGATGTGTCAAAATGCATTCTACTATCACGTGTAACTAATTAGAACAACAACAAAACCCAATTTACCTTTTAGTGAGGTTAAATACTTTTGATGTGTTTATTGACTATGTTTGCTAGTCATTTTGGGGTTATTCATGTTCTTTATTTATCATCTTTTTAAATACAAACTTTAAGATCTTTTTACAAGTTACGTATTTTCGAAGATTTCCCATTTATTAATGATATATTTTTCATGTAGCTGTTTTAAAGTTTTATATAGATATATTTAAAAAAATTTTGTAGTTATATATGGATAGAATGCTTTTATTTTATTTGTGGTGCTCTAAGGATCAAACCTAGTGCCTCACATGGGCTGGGCAAGCACTCTGCCACTGAACTACAGCCCCAGCCCTATAGAAATATTTTAAGTTTATTCTTTTTTGATTGTTACTTTGGTCAGTGTATTAGTCAATTTTCCATTATTATAATGAAGAACTGAGACTGGGTACTTAATACAGAAAAAGATAGTGTTTATTTAGCTAACAGTTTTGGAGGCTGAAGTCCAAACAGCATTTGCTAGCTCTGCAGAAGTCCTGTTGGCTGTGTTACATCACTGCAGATGGCATCACAGGGCAGCCTGTGTGAGGCGGGAGAGCATAAGGGCAGGGGCCAATAAGAACCTCCTACCAGGCTCCATCTCTTAAAGGACCCACCACCTCCCAACATCCAAACTTACACACAGGAACCTTTGGAGAACAAATTAC